ACGACGGGTAGGGTTACTTTCAGGTTGATGGCGAGGAGAATGACTACCAGGGTGACGGCGGGTAGGGTTACTTTCAGGTTGATGGCGACGAGAATGACTACCAGGGAGACGGCGGGTAGGGTTACTTTCAGGTTGATGGCGAGAAGGATGACTACCACGGTGATGGCGGGTAGGGTTACTTTCAGGTTGATGGCGAGAAGGATAGACTAGCAGGGTGACGACGGGTAGGGTTACTTTAAGGTTGATGGCGACGAGAATGGCTACCAGGGAGACGGCGGGTAGGGTTACTTTCAGGTTGATGGCGAGTAGGGTTACTTTCAGGTTGATGGCGAGAAGGATGACTACCAGGGTGATGGCGGGTAGGGTTACTTTCAGGTTGATGGCGAGAAGGATGACTACCAGGGTGACGACGAGTAGGTTTACTTTCAGGTTGATGGCGAGGAGGATGACTACTCTAGGGTGACGGCGGGTAGGGTTACTTTCAGGTTGATGGCGAGGAGGATGACTACTACGGTGACGGCGGGTAGGGTTACTTTCAGGTTGATGGCGAGAAGGATGACTTCAAGGGTGATGGCGAGTAGGGTTACTTTCAGGTTGATGGCGAGAAGGATGACTACCAGGGTGACGGCGGGTAGTGTTACTTTCAGGTTGATGGAGAGAAGGATGACTATCAGGTTGATGGCGAGTAGGGTTACTTTCAGGTTGATGGCGAGAAGGATGACTACCAGGGTGATGGCGAGTAGGGTTACTTTCAGGTTGATGGCGAGGAGGATGACTACCAGGGTGACGGCGTGTACTTTCAGGGTGATGGCGAGAAGGATGACTACCAGGGTGACGGCGGGTAGGGTTACTTTCAGGTTGATGGCGAGAAGGATAGACAACCAGGGTGACGACGGGTAGGGTTACTTTCAGGTTGATGGCGAGAAGGATGACTACCAGGGTGATGGCGAGTAGGGCTACTTTCAGGTTGATGGCGAGAAGGATGACTACCAGGGTGACGACAGGTAGGGTTACTTTCAGGTTGATGGCGAGAAGGATGACTACCAGGGTGATGGCGGGTAGGGTTACTTTCAGGTTGATGGCGAGAAGGATGACTATCAGGTTGATGGCGAGAAGGTTACTTTCAGGTTGATGGCGAAAAGGATCGCGAGAAGGATGACTACCAGGGCGACGGCGGGTAGGGTTACTTTCAGGTTGATGGCGAGAAGGATGACTACCAGGGTGACGGCGTGTAGGGTTACTTTCATGTTGATGGCGAGGAGGATGACTACCAGTTTGATGGCGACTAGGGTTACTTTCAGGTTGATGGCGAGGAGGATGACTACAAGGGTGACGGCGGGTAGGGTTACTTTCATGTTGATGGTGAGAAGGATGACTGTCAGGGTGATGGCGAGTAGGGTTACTTTCAGGTTGATGGCGAGAAGGATGACTACCAGGGTGACGACGGGTAGGGTTACTTTCAGGTTGATGGCGAGAAGGATGACTACCAGGGCGATGGCGAGTAGGGTTACTTTCAGGTTGATGGCGAGAAGGATGACTACCAGGGTGATGGCGGGTAGGGTTACTTTTAGGTTGATGGCGAGAAGGATGACTACCAGGGCGATGGCGAGTAGGGTTACTTTCAGGTTGATGGCGAGAAGGATGACTATCAGGTTGATGGCGAGTAGGGTTACTTTCAGGTTGATGGCGAGAAGGATCGCGAGAAGGATGACTACCAGGGTGAGAAGGATGACTATCAGGTTGATGGCGAGTAGGGTTACTTTCAGGTTGATGGCGAGAAGGATGACTACCAGGGTGATGGCGAGTAGGGTTACTTTCAGGTTGATGGCGAGAAGGATGACTATCAAGTTGATGGCGAGTAGGGTAACTTTCATGTTGATGGCGAGGAGGATGACTACCAGGGTGATGGGGACTATGGTTACTTTCAGGTTGATGGCGAGGAGGATGACTACAAGGGTGACGACGGGTAGGGTTACTTTCAGGTTGATGGCGAGGAGAATGACTACCAGGGTGACGGCGGGTAGGGTTACTTTCAGGTTGATGGCGACGAGAATGACTACCAGGGAGACGGCGGGTAGGGTTACTTTCAGGTTGATGGCGAGAAGGATGACTACCACGGTGATGGCGGGTAGGGTTACTTTCAGGTTGATGGCGAGAAGGATAGACTAGCAGGGTGACGACGGGTAGGGTTACTTTAAGGTTGATGGCGACGAGAATGGCTACCAGGGAGACGGCGGGTAGGGTTACTTTCAGGTTGATGGCGAGTAGGGTTACTTTCAGGTTGATGGCGAGAAGGATGACTACCAGGGTGATGGCGGGTAGGGTTACTTTCAGGTTGATGGCGAGAAGGATGACTACCAGGGTGACGACGAGTAGGTTTACTTTCAGGTTGATGGCGAGGAGGATGACTACTCTAGGGTGACGGCGGGTAGGGTTACTTTCAGGTTGATGGCGAGGAGGATGACTACTACGGTGACGGCGGGTAGGGTTACTTTCAGGTTGATGGCGAGAAGGATGACTACAAGGGTGATGGCGAGTAGGGTTACTTTCAGGTTGATGGCGAGAAGGATGACTACCAGGGTGACGGCGGGTAGTGTTACTTTCAGGTTGATGGAGAGAAGGATGACTATCAGGGTGACGGCGGGTAGGATTACTTTCAGGTTGATGGCGAGAAGGATGACTGCCAGGGTGACGGCGGGTAGGGTTACTTTCAGGTTGATGGCGAAAAGGATGACTACAAGGGTGACGGCGGGTAGGGTTACTTTCAGGTTGATGGCGAGAAGGATGACTACCAGGGTGACGGCGAGTAGGGTTACTTTCAGGTTGATGGCGAGAAGGATGACTACAAGGGTGACGGCGGGTAGGGTTACTTTCAGGTTGACGGCGAGAATATTGACTACCAAGGTGACGGCGGGTAGGGTTACTTTTAGGTTGAATGCGAGAAGGATGACTACAAGGGTGACGGCGGGTAGGGTTACTTTTAGGTTGATGGCGAGAAGGATGACTACCAGGGTGACGGCGAGTAGGGTTACTTTCAGGTTGATGGCGAGAAGGATGACTACAAGGGTGACGGCGGGTAGGGTTACTTTCAGGTTGACGGCGAGAAGGATGACTACCGAGGTGACGGCGGGTAGGGTTACTTTTAGGTTGATGGCGAGAAGGATGACTACAAGGGTGACGGCGGGTAGGGTTACTTTTAGGTTGATGGCGAGAAGGATGACTACCAGAGTGATGGCGAGAAGGATGACTACAAGTGTGACGGCGGGTATGGTTACTTTTAGGTTGATGGCGAGAAGGATGGCGAGAAGGATGACTACCAGGGTGACGGCGGGTAGGGTTACTTTCAGGTTGATGGCGAGAAGGATGACTACCAGGGTGACGGCGGGTAGGGTTACTTTCAGTTTGATGGCGAGAAGGATGACTACAAGGGTGACGGCGGGTAGGGTTACTTTCAGGTTGATGGCGAGAAGGATGACTATCAGGTTGATGGCGGGTAGGGTTACTTTCAAGTTGAGGGCGAGAAGGATGACTACAAGGGTAACGGCGGTCAGTGTTACTTTCAGGTTGATGGCGAGAAGGATGACTACAAGGGTGACGGCGAGTAGGGTTACTTTCAGGTTGATGGCGAGAAGGATGACTACCAAAGTGACGGCGGGTAGGATTACTTTCAGGTTGATGGCGAGAAGGATGACTACAAGGGTGACGGCGGGTAGGGTTACTTTTAGGTTGATGGCGAGAAGGATGACTATCAGGTAGATGGCGGTGTGGGTTACTTTCAGGTTTATGGCGAGGAGGATGACTACCAGGGTGACGGCGGGTAGGGTTACTTTCAGGTTGATGGCGAGAAGGATGACTACCAGGGTGACGGCGGGTAGGGTTACTTTCAGGTTGATGGCGAGAAGGATGACTACAAGGGTGACGGCGGGTAGGGTTACTTTCAGGTTGACGGCGAGAAGGATGACTACCAGGGTGACGGCGGGTAGGGTTACTTTCAGGTTGATGGCGAGAAGGATGACTACCAGGGTGACGGCGGGTAGGGTTACTTTCAGGTTGATGGCGAGAAGGATGACTACAAGGGTGACGGCGGGTAGGGTTACTTTCAGGTTGACGGCGAGAAGGATGACTACAAGGGTGACGGTGGATAGGGTTACTTTTAGGTTGATGACGAGAAGGATGACTACCAGGGTGACGGCGGGTAGGGTTACTTCCAGGTTGACGGCGAGAAGGATGACTACAAGAGTGACGGCGGGTAGAGTTACTTTCAGGTTGATGGCGAGAAGGATGTCTACCAGGGTGACGGCGAGTAGGGTTACTTTCAGGTTGACGGCGAGAAGGATGATTATCAGGTTGATGGCGGTGTGGGTTACTTTCAGGTTGATGGCGAGAAGGATGACTACCAGGGTGACAGCTAGTAGGGTTACTTTCAGGTTGATGGCGAGGAGGATGACTACAAGGGTGGCGGCGGGTAGGGTTACTTTTAGGTTGATGGCGAGAAGGATGACTACCAGGGTGACGGCGAGTAGGGTTACTTTTAGGTTTACGGCGAGAAGGATGACTACAAGGGTGGCGGCGGGTAGGGTTACTTTTAGGTTGATGGCGAGAAGGATGACTACCAGGATGACGGCGGGTAGGGCGACTGTAAGGTTAATGACGACAAGGATGGTGACCAGGATGACGAAAGGTGACGACCAGGTACACAGTAGTTAAATTATATGAACCGTTTTACCACATAACTTTATCAACGATCTTGAAGAGGAACATTGATGTTAGTCATGATGTTACATGTATAGTAATCACCTTTTAGTCGTAGACACAGAAGCAAGACGATAAAACACCTTCTAGTGTGCCCATTTCTACCAAAACCATGTATTCTCAAAGACCATGAGAAGTTTAATATGCCAACTTCAGGTCCTACATCGTGTACTGGACGGGACTTGTGTCGTAACTCGTAACTGACCATACAATACACTACAATTATCTATTCATTATGTTGCAGGGTGACGACCAACAGCAACAACGAGGACGATGTCGACCTACCAGGTTGATATCGACGAAAGAGAAGAGCAGGGTGGTTACGACCAGGATAATGACTATGGTGATGTCCCTGAAGAAGAACAGGTAAACAATAATGACATAATTCAATCATTTTACCACATAAATACATTAAAGATTATGACGGTATGCTCCCTCATTGCGATTTACAATTTACATTCTTGCAATTGGCGTTTCATCAAGGACGTACGGAATAGCGTTTTCTGTGATCGAGCGAAGCATTACTGGCAGATTAGATTGATTAAACAAATATATTCATTTATATTGCAGCGTGGGGAAGACGACGACGACGAACTGGACGACTACCATAGTCACTACCAGGGCGACTACCAAGCTGATGACGACGACTAGGATTACAACCAGGTAGGAATCGGTCAATGTTCAAACTTATACCACATATCAAAAAAAATTACGACCGTAAAAATTGATATTAAAATTATTCTTTGCTGTTGTTGCAAGTCATTTCATGTGGAAAACTGCATTCATAGCAATATTTTTTTCGCCGATTTTGGTGTTTATTTTCTTGGCACTTGTCAGTGATAACTTGCTCAATTTGATGAAGATTGATTTCAATCCATAACAGTGGCAATGAATTCATCCCCTGAAATCGGTAAAAGAATATTGTCATGAAATCAATTCTTATATGAAAAAGATTGGTTTAAATTGAGTGCCTGGGAATTCTACGATAATAGAGACTAGGGAAAGAAGAAAAATTAAAAGAACGAATATTCTAAAAATATTTACAGTGCTTCAATTTAGAAAAACGAAACAAACAATAATCAGTTCTATATACTTTTTTTTCCAGGGCGGTCGGTGATGTTCACTGGACTACTGTAAATCGGGGTTGCAGTATCTAGCCAGGGTCATTGACCTTACCAAGACACACTCAGTGTACCTCTTCACCTCTCCAGTGGACGTGAACTAATTTTTAAGGAGATGAGAACATGGCGATTCATCTCTTTGTCCATTGGTGATTTGCAAAGAAATATGTAAAGACACTCTACTCTGTATAATAATTGAGGAGACTTGATTTCATTCCACCAGAAACCTGTAAATTTAAATCTTCCTTGGAATCCTCATTCATCGATGGACATACTACGTACGATGATGCCTAAACATATTGCAGTCCGACTTTCTACATTCTGAAAGAAACGCGGTCATGTTTCATCAGGTTTTCTTATTTAGCAAGCAAGCAATTTAAATTGTCTCGTAAATTAGCAATCATGGTTATATTCAAATGAACACGGCGACGTCTGCTTTGGAAGCAGAATCTCCAGATATGTAAACGATGGAATAAAACAACATTGAACTACTGAACTATTCTCTCAAATATTATTAACTAACAGCAACATTATCGAGAATCATCTGTCAGAATCGTGTACACAACTCACCAGAGACAAATGTCAACCTGACTGATATGAACCTGGCAAGAGGTTTGTTGATTGGTCTGTGTCGGAGAAAAATGCTTGCACGAGAATGCAACCCTGCATAGCTTATTCTTAAGCAGGTTTCACTATTCCTTCAAATCGGACGGTCATAAACCGAGGACAATTCAACTGAGAAGTATCTGATTTCAGAATCTTGAAGAGAACTAGCCTATTCGGCCTGACTGATTCGAACCTTGCAAGAGGTTTGTTGATCGGACTGTGCCGGAAAACATCCAAGATAAAGACAAACTTTATGATTGTTATGATACTCAATCTACACAACGACCCAAGATATGGAATAATACCGGTGCTGATCATTTGCAAATGGAACAATATTGGAGCGTGACGGACTTTTGGATAATCAATTTTTTTGATCAAATGGAATGTTCATGAACTACTGTTTGGATCATATTCCCGCTGGATCACAGGATTGAAGGGGAGAATGCAGAGACTGAACCTTCAGATGAACTTGAGACTGAGATGTCGGGGCAAGTGAAGGTTAGCCTGTAAACAATACAACAATATCACTTCTGATCTTAATGGAGCTCTGAAATTTACTGAGATGTGTCAAAGTTGGGTTTGAGTTAAGTTTAAAATATAAACTATAACATTTACACATTAGGCTTAATTAATATAAATGTAGTGTAAGGGCCTAATTTGAATCTGACCCTAACCCATCTCAGAAAATTTCGAGCTCTATATCAGGAAGATTGTTGCGTTGTAGAAAATCTATGAAGTGTCCAACTTTTCGAATTGGACACGTTTCGTATCGAATCCTCGCGGCTCGGCATGCCTCGTTGCCACTCGTCGCATTTCGTTGCGTTTCGTTTCGTTTTGTTGCGTCTTGTGACGTCTCTTCACGTAACGACAATTTTCCGGTGAGATATAGTATGGATTATTATTTTGTTGGTGAATATATGATAGATTATCGCCGTTATATTTGATTTAAGTTTAGTCTGTGATTGCTATATTAATTAGCTTGGTAAACTGTAGAAAAGATGATGATAACAATAATACTATTAATAATAATGATTATTGGACAGAGATCGCTCCTATCACATACGACAAAGAAGAAGAGAAGAAAATGAAGATAAGAAGAAAAGGAAGATGTGTCGTACAGATAAGTGTTGTATTGGTAGGCTTGCTTTACTAGAAATGTAGTTTGACAATTTTTTTGATTAGCATAGAATAGGAAAATACGACGAATATGAGGAGGACATGTACCTATAGTCTCATTAGCAATATTTATATTATCTTGCCAAGGCATTTGAATTAGATCTATCTGCATACATGTTGTATATTTATCTACCGATATGATTAAAATTGCGACTAACATGAGAATATTAGGAAGATACGTTTAGATATATATGTAGATATAGGATTATCTATAACACCCTTAAATTTAAACTTCGAACATTCCATAAACTGATGTGATGAGAAAATAGAGATAATATGTGTTGTCAAACTCACTCAGTGCAGAACTCTCATCTCTCCTACCCTACATGCATAGCACTAGTTTCTTGTAACACATTATAAACTTTGACGAGTCACAAGCAAGTTTTTTGTCTTTTTTTCCCTTCTCACCAAGTATCATGTGATAATAAACATTAATAGACATCGGGATTGTCATTCCCCTCATATTTTATTCGATTCAAGCTTTAGGCTTAGTACTAAGGATTTAATAAAGTAACAAGATGTATAGTTGATACATCGTATAGGCGACAAAGTAGCTTGGATTCGCTCTCTTTTTGTCTTTCAGGTTTTCATTGCGGTGTACCTGCATACATCCATGACTTCTTTGATCTTGTCGACTTCGTTAAGCTATCGTACATAGACTACGTTCAGCCTCTTCACATCCCACGTTCATGGCACCGATGGCGGAAGTTGATCATAATTAATTTACATAAATGTAGCGTAATGGTCTAATTTGATCTTGTCGTAACCCATCTCAGAAAATGTAGAGTTCCATATCAGGAGGACTTGCGTTCTAAAAATCAGGGGGGCAATTTGAATATTCCTTATTATTTGGATACACCATGTCACATCTCATCAAGTCTCATCTCATCAAGTCTCGTCACCTCTCGTCACCTCTCGTCGCGTTACGAATCTCACTGTGGTAAGATATACTTACATCTTTATGGTAATATTCCCATGTTAACTAGCTTTTTATAATCAGTTAGACCTAATATTATCAAGATATGATTTAATATTGTAGCATTAATTTACATTATTCATTTGAATGGGAAATTTAAAAAAACGTGCTCTCATGTTTACAGTCAGTGTGGAAATCATTTCTCACCAAATACTGTAATAGAATTAATGGTCTTTTAGAGAATAAATGCATAGCAATCATAATTAGCAAGGCATTAATGACGTATTGGTAATATCCCCACATTAAAATATTCAAATCGTATCCTATATAGTAACTACATATCGATGTGATGAGAAATCGACAAAATGAATAAGAGAAGAAAGATAAGATGTTTTTAGAGATATGTGTCGTATTGGTACTCTCTTAGCATAGCAATTAAACTAGGTCTATTCATAAAAATATGAGAAAATACGACAAAGAAGAAGAGCCTAAATAAAAGGTCTGTCTAGAGATACATGTCATTACACTCATTGAAAGCAGGACTCACATCTATCACATACTTCATTCACTGCACTAGTTTCCTTTTGCACCTATTCCTGGGCAAATCTTTAGTGATTTTGTGTTCCATGCTTTACCAAGTATTATGGAATTATGACCTTAAATTGGCATCAGAAGTGTCATTTACTCTATATCTCTTGTGATTCAAGCTTAAGAACTACGACTAGGGACTTAATGAAGTGATAAGATGTTTTGATACATCTTGGATATGACAAAATAGCTTGGACTCGCTCTCTTCATGTCTTTCAGGTTCTACAATGCAGTATATCTACATGCTTCCAGGACTTCAGTCACCTCTACGAACAACCGCGTCGACTTCGTTCAGCTATTGTCCATCGACTGCGTTCACCTTCTTCACATCCCACATTCACGGCACCAAGGAGGAAGTCGATCATTTTCAAGATCTGGCCCACCACTCTGATATATGTGTACATCGTCAGCAACTCCGAAACGAGCTCAACGATTTAAGACTCAGTTTAATTATGCCATCTCCCTTGTATCTATTGTGTAATTGTGTTTTTCTTCATCTGTGAGTGGAAACTGATGCAACACCTCTTGGAAAATATAAGTGTCATTTATCTATGGAGGTAAGTATTGTCAGGTATGTATTCAAAAGTTTGCTAAAGATTTTATCATATATTAAATCAAGGCAGAATGAACACGAGTATATTTCTAATGACAAAGTTTATGTTGAAACAGGTGTTGTACTGTTACAAGACACGTGCCAATTATAAGTCTCATAATTACCATTCGACGTCTCATAATTACCATTCGACTGAAATCATGAATGCATTATGAAGGGAGATGCACAACATTAAAGAGCTACAGGAGAAGAAGAATCGTTAATAAATGGGTAATAAAACGGGGCAAAATGTATTGTGATTATGAAATGCAAAGACATATTTTTAAAAGTATGAATGCAAACAAAAAGATGAAAATGATTCACTCGAATTATTGTGAAGACAAATATCTATTCAATATATGTTGCGATTTTTGCAAGAGTTCTCATTGTACAGGTGAAAGAAAGGAGAGGGGACGATCACTAATTTGACTACGCCACACGATGACGAACACGGTAATGACTACGGTGACAACGAGGGTGACATTGGAGCAGCAGTGGATAGGCTTCGTGTTTCTGCAAGCGTTCAGTAAGATGTGTTCAATTTAGATAACGACATAAACCTAATACATCATTTTCAGTAAGTTTATTTTAGTTAGGTAATTTCCACACTCATGAAGTGTTGATGGCGAGAAGGATGACTACCAGGGTGACGGCGGGTAGGATTACTTTCAGGTTGATGGCGAGAAGGATGACTGCCAGGGTGACGGCGGGTAGGGTTACTTTCAGGTTGATGGCGAAAAGGATGACTACAAGGGTGACGGCGGGTAGGGTTACTTTCAGGTTGATGGCGAGAAGGATGACTACCAGGGTGACGGCGAGTAGGGTTACTTTCAGGTTGATGGCGAGAAGGATGACTACAAGGGTGACGGCGGGTAGGGTTACTTTCAGGTTGACGGCGAGAAGGATGACTACCGAGGTGACGGCGGGTAGGGTTACTTTTAGGTTGATGGCGAGAAGGATGACTACAAGGGTGACGGCGGGTAGGGTTACTTTTAGGTTGATGGCGAGAAGGATGACTACCAGAGTGATGGCGAGAAGGATGACTACAAGTGTGACGGCGGGTATGGTTACTTTTAGGTTAATGGCGAGAAAGATGACTACCAGGGTGATGGCGAGAATGATGACTACAAGTGTGACGGCGGGTATGGTTACTTTTAGGTTGATGGCGAGAAGGATGGCGAGAAGGATGACTACCAGGGTGACGGCGGGTAGGGTTACTTTCAGGTTGATGGCGAGAAGGATGACTACCAGGGTGACGGCGGGTAGGGTTACTTTCAGTTTGATGGCGAGAAGGATGACTACAAGGGTGACGGCGGGTAGGGTTACTTTCAGGTTGATGGCAAGAAGGATGACTGCCAGGGTGACGGCGGGTAGGGTTACTTTCAGGTTGATGGCTAAAAGGATGACTACAAGGGTGACGGTGGGTAGGGTTACTTTCAGGTTGATGGCGAGAAGGATGACTATCAGGTTGATGGCGGGTAGGGTTACTTTCAGGTTGATGGCGAGAAGGATGACTACCAGGGTGACGACGGGTAGGGTTACTTTCAGGTTGATGGCGAGAAGGATGACTACCAGGGCGATGGCGAGTAGGGTTACTTTCAGGTTGATGGCGAGAAGGATGACTACCAGGGTGACGACGGGTAGGGTTACTTTCGGGTTGATGGCGAGAAGGAATACTACCAGGGTGACGCTGGGTAGGGTTACTTTAAGGTTGATGGCGAGAAGGATGACTACCAGGGTGATGGCGGGTAGGATTACTTTCAGGTTGATGGCGAGAAGGATGACTGCCAGGGTGACGGCGGGTAGGGTTACTTTCAGGTTGATGGCGAAAAGGATGACTACAAGGGTGACGGCGGGTAGGGTTACTTTCAGGTTGATGGCGAGAAGGATGACTACCAGGGTGACGGCGAGTAGGGTTACTTTCAGGTTGATGGCGAGAAGGATGACTACAAGGGTGACGGCGGGTAGGGTTACTTTCAGGTTGACGGCGAGAAGGATGACTACCGAGGTGACGGCGGGTAGGGTTACTTTTAGGTTGATGGCGAGAAGGATGACTACAAGGGTGACGGCGGGTAGGGTTACTTTTAGGTTGATGGCGAGAAGGATGACTACCAGAGTGATGGCGAGAAGGATGACTACAAGTGTGACGGCGGGTATGGTTACTTTTAGGTTAATGGCGAGAAAGATGACTACCAGGGTGATGGCGAGAATGATGACTACAAGTGTGACGGCGGGTATGGTTACTTTTAGGTTGATGGCGAGAAGGATGGCGAGAAGGATGACTACCAGGGTGACGGCGGGTAGGGTTACTTTCAGGTTGATGGCGAGAAGGATGACTACCAGGGTGACGGCGGGTAGGGTTACTTTCAGTTTGATGGCGAGAAGGATGACTACAAGGGTGACGGCGGGTAGGGTTACTTTCAGGTTGATGGCAAGAAGGATGACTGCCAGGGTGACGGCGGGTAGGGTTACTTTCAGGTTGATGGCTAAAAGGATGACTACAAGGGTGACGGTGGGTAGGGTTACTTTCAGGTTGATGGCGAGAAGGATGACTATCAGGTTGATGGCGGGTAGGGTTACTTTCAGGTTGATGGCGAGAAGGATGACTACCAGGGTGACGACGGGTAGGGTTACTTTCAGGTTGATGGCGAGAAGGATGACTACCAGGGCGATGGCGAGTAGGGTTACTTTCAGGTTGATGGCGAGAAGGATGACTACCAGGGTGACGACGGGTAGGGTTACTTTCGGGTTGATGGCGAGAAGGAATACTACCAGGGTGACGCTGGGTAGGGTTACTTTAAGGTTGATGGCGAGAAGGATGACTACCAGGGTGATGGCGAGTAGGGTTACTTTCAGGTTGATGGCGAGAAGGATGACTACCAGGGTGATGGCGGGTAGGGTTACTTTCAGGTTGATGGCGAGAAGGATGACTACCAGGGTGATGGCGAGTAGGGTTACTTTCAGGTTGATGGCGAGAAGGATGACTATCAGGTTGATG